GATAATATATGTATATACACACGTATGCCACCCCCTAAAATCTATATGCCACCCCTTTGCCACCCCATTAGTATTTCTCTAGATCCGCCCCTGCCAGTGACCAATCACCTCTGGTCACCTGATCGATGGAAACGCTGACAGTTACTCTGGAAAGTGGAGGAAAGACTCAGGCTGCGTTCACATGTTTTCCAGACGGACATCAGTCAGAACATCCGATCAGGTTTAGAACTTTGAAGTGTGTTTGATTTGCTGTAACACGATAAAGACCCAGTTGTACCGAACAGACAGAGCTCCCACCTTGAATTCGTAGGACTCCTCGATGGTGACCTCCAGTCTGACGTGTTCTCCCAGCGTCGGTCGGCCCATCTCAGCGATCCGACGCTCCTCCTCCTCCTTCTTGGTCAGCACCTCCTCACCGTCCTCCTCTGACAGACAGATGGACAGTTCAGGTTCTGTTAGCTTCAGGATCAGCAGGTAAATGTAGGAGACGGAATCATCCCACTGACAGACGGACTGCAGGACGTATGGATGAAAACATGAAGAAGAGACAGACTGACGGGTGGACAGACGAGCTTCAGCCTCTGAACTCTCAGCAGCTTCTGTCTCGTGTTCCTTCACTGAGGTTCATGTTTCTCTGCAACATAAAGTCCTGCAGCTCTGTGGAACCAGAACCACATGGAGGAGGAGCAAATCTGATCACCTTAATAACGGTAACTGACATCAGGCAGGTTTTTCCACGTTTCTCTAAAACGTGAGTTTCATCTTTGCAGGACATAATGTGGTGTGTAACTGTCTTCAGGCTGTGATGTGTGTTTATACGTGCTCGATTGTGAATTCATTGTTTTTGTGTCCATACATAATTAAGAACTGAGGTCAACGATGTAATAAGTGGAAGAGGGTACAAATGGTAACGGAGTGTTAAAAATAGGTCACTTTAAACTTCATGTTTAGTTAAGAAGTGAGTTATTCTTTATTAGGCTTTTATTTTGATTGTCAGGTCACATGACTGTGCTTTGGTCGGGCCAGCAGAGCAGCGTGGTGGGTCAGAGTCAACATGGATGTGTAGCAGAGACTCGTAACGCAGGCGCATACGGCAGCTGTCTTTATTTGGTTTGTAGGTTGTGTTGTGTTGGTCTGCGTGGACAGTGTTCTGCAGGTTCTGTGGTGTGTCGTTTGGTGCGCTGGCTTTAGCTGAGCATGCTAACAGAGAGACTGAAGGCTCCACAGATGTCTGCTTTTAATGTGCATTGTGTTGATTGGGTCTCGTTTTCAAGAGACAGACAGAGAAGAATTAAGGATAAACCTCCGCTGACATCGGTACGCAGCGTGGCCGCTTCGTTACACCTGTGCAGCTACAGTGTCATGCTTTCCATATTTGGGCATAGCTTCCTCCTGCCGCTCTAACTTCGAAGGACTGTCCACCGTTACTTCACAGGAAGCTCAGACTACATTTAAAAATAAACCTTTATGTTCCCAAGCTTTACATTGTATGAATCACTTCTTGATTCATACTAATCACAACATTCCCTCTATTCTCAGTAACTGAGTGACTCTTCGGTTATCATTGGAGTATTGATCACGTGGCCAACACCCAATAAGCTGGAGCACATTCGTAGCATTTGAAGACGGACGGACCTGTGATGCTGATGACGGTGGAGGCGGCGGGATGCTCTCGTCCCTGAACCTTCCTGTAGACGTCTCTGCCTGAACAGGGGAGCACAAAGTGAAACCAGAACACCTGAACCAGAAACATGCCAGAGATCAAACCCAAACCAGCAGCAGCATGCACTCTGGGAGCTGTAGTGAAAGAAGGCTGCACGTCTCTGTGACCTTCTCTCTGAGCAGCAGCTGTGTGGCCATGACTGATGGCAGAGTTTAGCGTCGATCCGATCAGAAGAGCAGCCGTGTTTCCATCAGTCTCAGTAGAAAATTCAAATGACAAAATATCCCAATAAAATTCCTTGAATCAGTTTCCTTTCTTTATCCATCACTACTGCAGCTGCAGCATTTAATCAGGCAGTCTGTTGTGATGATTGATCAATTCTGTGACTGCAGCTCCTTAAATGCGAATGTTTTCTGGTTTCTTTCCTCTCTGACGGTAAACTGAAGATGTTTGGACTAAACAAGACCTTTGAGGAAACTCTGATCCACATTTTTCACCATTTTAGGGACAAACGGCTGATTGATTCATCCAGAGAATAATTAGCTTCTTCTCCAGCCGACACCAGCTGATCTGACCGACTGAACGTTATTCCTGAACATCTGTCAGCATCTGTCTCTGAGGTTTGCTTTGTTTCTTTCTACAATGAAAGAAAAC